AAGCATATTGAACGCCCTGCTTGGTCCAATTAGAGATGCTCTGCGATTGGAGCCAAACTTTGCCAAATGAATTTTTTCTGAAAGCTGTGAGAACATAGAGAGTCGCAATTTTGAAGTTTCGCGTTGTACGAGAGCGTGTCAAAGCATATTGATAATATTCCTGTCTTGGCTTGTTTAAATCGTTAAGGATTATGAATTATGGCTGAACAAGGTTAACAGGATAACGTTACTGTACTTTTCTGCGAATTTAGCCTTGCTCCGCAAAAACGATATCCCCTGCTTCTTCCTTAAATCGATATGTCAATTTCAATCATTCCACTGTTGTCGTGTCGCTCTGCTTGAAGCGCTGGAACGACTGCCTTTACATTATGTACTGGAGGGATCCTCACTATTTACGAGAAATTTGTTTTGAGCTTTGGTCGATCTGTGATCTTGTAGAAATTGTAAAAGTACGCAAGTCCCAGCTTGGCTATTGGGCAGTGCATCTGCCATATTCAAGGTTTCAAAGTTGCAATGCGATGCAGCGTTCTGCACTCCTTGTAAATTGATATTTACCATGTTTGAGCAGGATTCTAAGATTTAACGAAAGTTATTGCCGCAACGGAAGAAGTAGTTTTCTTTTAAGACACCTAGTACTAGGATGGTCCGAAAGTATCTTTGCATTTTTCAAGCGATCGTAACCTTCCGAACGACAAAGACCTTCGGAGACTTTGACTGCATTTTTAGCTTTTATCCCTCTTTCAAAAGACTGTTGCTACATATTAGTCTAACCAACGGGTTCTCAGAAAATGACCAACATTACAGCTCATGGTTTTGCCATGACCAAGTTACAAATTTTTGTTTTTGTACCGCCACCCAAGCGGTAATGGATGGATAGAGCAAGCCTACAGGTTACGAAACAATTCTTTCTTTCGACCCTTTTCTCAGCTCCACAAATTTTTCAGGAAAATCATGGAACAAAGTTTTCAGACCTGTCTCAGTCACAAACGCATCAAAACTAAAAAATCTTCTAGTTAATCCCAACAAGATCTGATTTAAAAAAATATTTCATATTTTTACAAATATGATCACGTTTCGAATTTGGCCGTTATCCGAGCATTAAATGACACCCCGAGCTGCTCGCGCTTATGTTCTATGAAAGTTGAGTTGACCAAGTATGGAATTTGAC